CTTACAACATCCACTGAAGATACTGTATCTCAACTGCCAAAGCCTCACATTGGAAGGGTTTACTGACGTTGGTAATAACGGATATTCCCGGTATTATTTTCACCTATCAAATTAAGTGCGATATTAAGAAAAATGAAGAAAAATAATAACAGGTGTTTCCTTTAAATGGACAGTTTAGACTTCTCTCTTTCTCTGTCTATCCAACACACACATGCTCGCGCTCGTGCCCGAAAGTACGCACACAGAACACACACAGAAACGCACACTAACACACACTATAACTGGTGAACCTAGATTGCACAGTAAGCGCAAGTGTAGTCATTAGTAATAAATAAGACACTACCCCTACAAGATCAAGTGAACCTTGGGCTTGTCACAGGAGCACATTATAGATCATGGGCTTAAGGCCCCTGGATCTCAACTAAAGTGATTAGGATTACACAGAAAATAAAACTCCAAAGATACAGTGCACATAACTCATTTTGGCTTATGATATGTGTCCTAAGAATTATCCACGACCTACTTTAATCTTGAGAAGGCGTTGACTCATCATCTAATCCTATATAATAAGTAACATGATCAAGCCACAGTTCTCGTTCTCGTTCTGACGATGGAGACAGTCGGCCATGATGTCCGCATAATTGAGTCACATTCCTCGTTCTAGTAATTTACGTACTGACGATGGAGACATTACTACTGATCATTATTGCATTATTATAATCCATTTTCGTCCTTTTTAGGATGAAATTTTTTGTTATTTGAAGCCCCACCCTGGCTTTTGCCAGGGGCCGCAATATAGGCAGGCCATAAATATGGTCAATTGTCCGAACGCGGTTTCTGGGACCTCTCCACGGTGTTCCTCATCCGCATGGTGGCACTTTGTGTCATCGGGTGTTTATCGCTTGTGTGATGTCCTAGTGGGGTAGAAAGTCAGTCAGTCAGTCAGATGGAGACAGTCGGCCATGATATCCACAATGACAGCAGGCTGTCAAGCACTATCACACTGAAAACACATCTATGGATACAAGACATACAGTGCGCGCATTTTTATGAAAGACTCACATAGGTACGATGTAGAGACTCCAAACAGGTCCACACAATACATTTTGAAGTAAGTAGATTATATATATATATATATATATATATATATATATATATATATATATATATATATATATCCGTTTATTTGACGGAAGTGGCTGTGGATACTTTTGTCCTGGTAGATTTTCTCTTAAAGCAAACAAATGCTGTCTTTTCAGTATGCATATGTACACATATGAAAGCTTGCTAGTAATGTTTGTTTATCTTTGAAGTGTTAAACCTACAGGCTGCAATTCTAGAAAAGTAAAACTACCCAATCTTAACTGTTACATGATAAGGTAATATTTGTTGGAGCCCATCTGGACCGCCCAGCTCCCCACCAGTGGTCCGCGGCCCATGGTTTGAAGAACACTGGTGAAGACAAGACTTTAACGCCCATGAAATGTTGAAATGCCTATTGTCTAGCATCATATGCTTTATGCGCCACTGGAGTAAAAACAGTCATTGTTCTATTGGCGAAGATGTCTTCATGTGTGTATCTGTACGTATAGATGTGTTCGCGTGTGTATTTGTATGTATAGATGTGTTCGCGTGTGTATCTGTATGTATAGATGTGTTCGCGTGTGTATCTGTATGTGTGGACTACATATTGTTATTTCATATAAAACAGCGTTTGATGTGTAATTATAGCAATTGATATTTGACAATGTTTCGATCATGTCTGAACGATTCTGATGTTGACTTAGCAAAAAATCCGTCCGGTTTTTTTTAATTTTCAATCTTTTGTAAGACAATTAACATTACTTCATACACATATACAAATAAACTGTGAAGACCTAAACAGTGTATAACAAGACTTACCTTAGCCACTGTCAAAATGGAGTCTTAGATTTCCTGGTTCCGTCCACGTCAGCAAGAGATCAACGACTGACACTAATAGTTTCGGATATTTCCGTTATTGTAGTTATCACCGGGTATTTTAATAGTGATCTGGTACAGAGGCCATGACAAGAACACTGATGTGGTCTGTGATTCTAGTGATCTTGTAGGATGGCAATATACGGAAGCGTATGATTATCGGCACGGTAAATAATGATGATACGTGTAGTTGGCAATATTGAAGAAGAATCGAGTAAATATAAAAAAAGACTATGCTTAGTATTGCAGAAGAATTATGTGGAAAACGGCAGAGTGGAAACAGACGGGGAAATACAAATATTCACCTTGGTGGTGCGAAGAAGTTAAAGGCGCAATTAAAAAGAAAAACAACATATAAACAGTGGATAAAATCAAAGAAAGAAGAAGATTATATAAACTATAGACTGCAAAGGAGAGAAACCAACAGGAGTGTCAAGAAAGCAAAACAAGCATCCTGGGAACGTTTCGGTGAGTCATTAGCAGAAAATTTTTCAAAGTAGTTAAAAATATGCGGAAAAGAGATGAGAGCTACAACCCCGCTGAAATAGTTAATGATTAGACAAGAAGGTCATTGATAGATCCACCCGAGATAGGAGAAAAATGGAGGGAATACTTCAATGAGCTCTTTAATCCTCTAGGAGATCAGCAGGAAAGAACAACTGAAGAGCACAGAGCAACAGTGTTAGAACCACACATACTAATGGATGAAATAGAAAAAGTCATTAAGCCGTCTCCCAAATATAAATCACCAGGAGCTAATAAATTACCAACAGAAATAATTCAAACAGCAGGTGAAAGCAGCATCAGATGGCTCCACAGAATATTTAATGCAGCATGGGTACAACAAACTGCCCCTATTGATTGGCAACATGCAATAGTTATACCATTGTGGAAGAACAAAGGAAGCAAATGAGAATGCGGTCAATATCGAGGCATCTCTTTTTAAGCCATGTTGGTAAAATGTATGCCAAGATAATAGAAACAAGACTGAGACCAGTGATAGAACCACAGCTGGCAGAAGAACAGATGGGATTTAGGAGAAAAAGAAGCTGCACAGATGCAATCTTCACACATAAACAGTTAATAGAAAAGAAAATTGAATACAATAAGAACTTTTTTGTGGCATTCGTAGACCAGGAGAAGGCATTTGACAGAGTCGACAGACCATTATTATGGAAAGTAATGGCAAGATATGGAGCAAGCGAACACCTCATCGAAGTTTGCAAAAGTTTATACAGGGATTGTAGAAGTGTAGTTAGAATAAATCAGGGAACATCTCATCCTTTTACAGTAACATCTGGAGTAAGACAGGGGTGTGTCATCTGCTGTTTATCACCTACATCGACAGTATATTCAAGAATGCCAAGCCCATGAATGAAAATGTTAGTAAGATCAACGAATTACTCTTTGCAAATAACCAGGTCTTGATAGCAGATACAGCCATGAAATTGCAACAAAATCTAACATCCATGAATGAAGAATGTAAAACAAATAATATGAGAATCAACACCCAAAAGACAGAAGTAATGTCAATAGGAAAAAAGAAGACAGATCTAAACATAGCAATAGAATACAAAGGCATTAAACAGCCATCTGAGTTTAAATATCTGGAAACTACATTTACCGAAGATGGGAAATTGGATAAAGAAATTAACATTAGATGCAGTAAAGCAAACCAAGTGTTGGGACAGCTAGCTCCCCTCGTACAGCATACGACAATCCCAACCACAAAGAGACATCTTATTCAAAGCATATTTATTCCAACTCTGTGCTACCAGTGCCAGACATGGTCACTCACAACAAACCATGAAACAAAATTAGTAACCATGGAAATGAGATGTCTCAGAAGGGCTGTAGGAGTGACCATAAGAGATAAGATCAGGAATGAGATCATAAGAGAACAAGTCGGCACAGAACCAATTCTGGATTACATATAAAGACAGCAAGTGAAATGGTTTGCCCACTTAGAGAGAATGCCTTGTGACGCCATACCATACAAAGCATACATGGAAAGAGAAGAAGGAAGTAGAGCAAGAGGTAGACCAAGAACCATATGGAAAGATAACATCAGATAAAATCTACAACAGCACGATGTGCCTATGGTCGAGGCGGCCAGAAGAGCTAGAAACAGAACCTTATATCTCCCTCGACACCCACAGCGGTAAAAGAGGAAGTGAAGAAGAAGCAGAAGAAGAAGAAGACACAATGATGATGACGTGTTCACTGTCTATCTTTTGCTTTCTATTGTTCATAGCTACTGTTTCTGAATGTGATGTCGAAGCAGTCTCTGAAAATATTCACTGGAGCTACAGAATCAGTGTATTATGCTCTCTGTGTACATCTTCCGAGTATGCAAGAGGTATTCTGTATCGTAGCAATGGCCCACCCGTTGCGGCTGCTAAGCCAGAGAAACGTAGGACAGAGCACAAGGACAACCATTACGGAATCAGTTGAACTGAGATAATTCTCTGAAATGCCGAAGATATTCACGGTTCAAAGGATGAGTGGAACAAAGAAATTATGAGCATATCCTAAACAAGAACACTTACATGAATTCTATATTCAGAAATCCCTTCGTGGGTTCAGTGTCCCCCATTAGGGGATAAGCAAGAATAGACCGAATCTCCCTCTAACAAGCATGTCGTAAGTGTGGGCTTCTATTTAAAGTCGGAGTGCATCCGTCCGAAAGGGAAGCAGTCCGTAGTGTATAAAAAAAAATATATCTTTTGGGACCAACCTCGCTCTCAACGAGTTTTGGAGAGAAAAAAATCACTCCCACATTGTTGCCTGCATCAAGATGATCGACAATGCGGGAGAAGGGGTTACAAAGAAAACCCTAACTTCTGCTTGGACGGAGAGCGTTGTCTATTTGTGACTTTGAGGGGTTCGAGACACCACCTGTAAAACGTGTAGTCAACGAGATTGTGTCTTTGGCCACTATCATGGGATTGTAGGTGGATAACAGTGATATCAAAGAGCTTGTGGAAGAGCACAGCCTAGAGCTGCGTTTTGGAGGAAAGTTTGTCAGAGGAGGAGGAGGA